TTGAACAGCCGAACTGCAGAACTGCAGTCAGCTGAAGTAGCCTGCAGTGCAGCACTCTAACCACTGCACCACCTCAGCTCTTACATGACCCACACCTGACCTCTCACAAGACCCATCACTAGACCCTCACCTGATGTGACCCTCCCATCACAAGACCTACTGATAGACCCACATAAAGACCCTTATAAGCAGAAGAACATTAACACTGACATTTGCTAAATTCTGTTGTTACTTAGTCTGGTAATGAAACATTCAGATACCAACCCACAAGCTCAGAGAACGATCCTCCACCTTCATCCTTCACCTGAGCAGTGGTGGGTTGCAGGCAGTACGCCCCGGTACCGGCGTACCGGAACCAGCCCGGAGTACAGGATACCGTTCTGGTACGGTGCTCCGGAGGACCCACCTGGCCGCCCGCGCTCCTTACCCGTGCTTAAAAGCTTATGCGCTTCCGCACAGGCGCATGGGGCATACAGCGCCTGCACGACGCTCTGTGGAGCAGCTGGAGCGTCACAGAGGTGCTAAGATGCGTGCATGCACTGCGCGCATGCGTGAGGACACTGCCGGCCCCGTTCCAACCGTATCGGTTGGAACGGGATTTGCAACCCACCACTGCACCTGAGGTATAGATATTCACCACTACTGCAATCTCACATTATATCACATCATAAACAAGATTTCATATGATTACCATCTCATCCTTCAGTATTTGTTTTCTCTGTTTTTACACATTGTATACTTCTGCTATTTTTACTTGAAATGGCCACCAGCTGGCAATGCTATGGACAAGTCTGCCTGTTCGGGATTCACCAGACATACTTAGCCACAAATCTTTCTAGGAAACTCAACATTCTATTGAGAATTGAACTCATGATTATATATAGCGCATTAGTTTTTATGAGCCCTCAAGGCACTGGTATTTAGCAGTGTTAGAGGAAGGGATATATGGAGACTCTCTTTAGAATTGTATATAAAGTGTACTACTTCTTTTTCTTAAAGGAAGATGATAATGGAAAGTAGACAATATGCATTCTAAAGCAGTGTTTCTCAACCTTGGCAACTTGAAGATGTCCGGACTTCAACTCCCAGAATTCCCCAGCCAGCGTTGAAGTCCGGACATCTTCGAGTTGCCAAGGTTGAGAAACACTGTTCTAAAGTATATACCAGTCTAAAGGAAATACTTCAGCTCAATATTTATATATATTTAATATGGCAATGACAGAAAATAATAAAAATATATAAATAGTCCATACTATAAAATTGTTTGTTCAGTTGTGGATTCCCTGTACGCCTCTAGTTTGATCCTTACAGGAAATTGGGTAATGGACCTTCTTGTTTTCTAACCTGGGTCTTCTAGCATGGTCTCCACAGATACTTAGATACCCATCATGTTCCCTGACTCTGCAGATTACAAGTTTAGTTCAAGCATGAAAAGCCATGGCCTCTGGAAAAGTAAAATGGATGAGGGTTTTGATAATCCAGCGGTTCCCAAACTTGGCAACTTTAAGACTTGTGGACTTCAACTCCCAGAATTCTCCAGCTGGAGAATTGCTGGCTGGAGAATTCTGGGAGTTGAAGTCCACAAGTCTTAAAGTTGCCAAGTTTGGGAACCACTGTGATAATCCAATGCATTTTGTGGGTACCTGTTGGAGAACTGGGAATTCACCCTAACTAGTTTACCTCAGAAAATTACTTCTACACAGAAGACCATTAACTGGTTAAAGATAAACCCAACAGACCACCTTGTTCAGACATTGCTTGGTACCAGAAGGCAATAATCCTAAAGCCTATCAACTTCATTTTAAGCCTTTCCTTGTACCCTTTACCCAAGTTCCTGTTTCTACCTACTTAAGAAATGCTGCCTTGTGCGATAGAGATCATGGATTTAAAGTAGGGATTAATGTAATTTTCAGTTGACAATCTTAGCAGGAAATCATACTGAATCTGGTTCCTCCACCCCCCACACACTGATGCTTGCTTGACAACTGCAATTATCATAATCACTGGGTTTGTAATTTCAAACATTTTTTGCAGGATTACTGTTCAAGCCAGGGACTTGACTGGAGCCTNGAGCCGGTGAGATTTGAACAGCCGAACTGCAGAACTGCAGTCAACTGAAGTAGCCTGCAGTGCTGCATTTAACCACTGCGCCACCTCGGCTCTCTTAACCCTAACCAATTCTCTTAGTTAGAGAATTGTAATGCAACAATATTTCAAAGCTTCCTCGAAGCGCGTATGAACTATGCTTCACTTAGCATCCCAATGAATGAAATAATTCTATGTTTAAAAAAGAATAAGGATCATTTTTTCTGTTTCCTATGCAGAAGCGAATTGGTATCATAAAATCTTATTCTCTCAGGGTTGATTTCCTCTCAAAATAGTTTGGCAGTGGAAGCTAGTGATACAACCTAGCATAATTCAGGATTCATGACAATGTGACATAGATCAATCGAATCTCATATTCCCCACTTTGCAAGCCTCTTTATTCTTCTATGTGGGTGGGCCTACATGAAACTGGGTCATATGAAACTAGTTCTATGTTAATTCTTCTTGCACCCATGCAAGTCCAATAGGTTCTTTGCCCACCCAAATCATTTAGAGCCATGATAGTTCAGTGGTTAGAACACAGTAATGCAAGCTAATTTTGCAAACTGCCAGCAGTTCAATTCTCACTTGCTGAAGGTTAACCTTCTATCCTTCCGAGGTTGGTAAAAAGAGGGGCCAGATTATTGTGAGCAATATGCTGACTCTGTAAATTGCTTACAGAGAACTGTAAAGCACTGTGAAGTGGTATATAAGTCTAAACGTTATTGCTATTTAGGCTATAGTTGCTGTTTATCACAGTATTTTGGCCTGATTCTGCCTATCTTTTGTTTACATGTTAGATGTGAAATTATTTGAAGGACCAGATCTTGGTGGAGTGGTAACTCTTGGAGATCCACTGCTGTTGCTGACAGCCAGTGAAGACAGAGAACCTCTGTTAAATGATAGTCCTGCTGAGGACGTGGAGGAACTATTGAGGTATTCATCTGAATTGCACGATAAATTTAGTGTTGTGTGTTTATCATGTTTCCTCAAGCCTGTCTGCCTCAAGCAGCCCAAGGCTGGAAGACAGCTTCTAGGCTTTCGCCTACTAAGGCCCCACAGTTTTCACAACTGGGATTGTATAAATGAATGTGAGTGTGTATGAATTTTAGCTATAGTTTTTTCCTCCATTCTTCTAGTTTTTCAGTTTATTCTTTGTCATCATGTTTTTCTCTTCAGAACTTCCATCCACCCTTCTTCTGGGCAGTTTCTCAGAGCTAAAAGAAATTGTGTACAATAGTCAAGAGTTAAATCAGTTCATTCCAGCTATAGGAATCACAGTAACAGAAAAAGCCATAAGGACATTGAGTCCACCTCTACACTAAGGGAAGGAATCAGTGCTAAAGAATTTCCGGACAGATACCTATCCCACCCACTTCTTGAACAAATCCAGTAAAGGGAGATTATTGCCTCCTCAGTAATTGGTTACATTGCTGAACTCTTCTTAGCAAGTTTTCCTAAAGTCCCAAGTAAAATCTGTCTTATTGTGACTTAAGTTCATTATTTTCTGCCCTGCGTAGATTTGTTATTCAGCTCAGGTATACATGAATCTGAATCAATTCACCTCATAGGGTTGTTGTTGCGGGGAAAATAAGAGGAAGGATTATTAGGTATGTTTGTCGCCATGAGTAATTTATAAAAATAATAAAGATGGGAGATAGACAGACATTCAGATACACTATTACCTGGATACAAATCACATAATAATGCTTGTAGGCAGATTCTTATAATCTCTGATTTAAACCATGTACAGTATGAAAAATACAATGATTGCACATAGGAATATACTAGACGCAACAAATATATAGTGGTTCTCTCTACTAAATTAAAAAAAACAACAACTACATTTCCACTGGTGTATTGAGTTTGAGTTTATTGACATTTGTATGCCGCCCACTCCCTAGGGACTCTGGGCGGCTTACAAACAACACAAAGGGACATATAAAAATTAAAATAAGAATACAATTATTAAAATTACACATCATGCATACTGATTAGAGTGGGGCTGGATACTAATCAACAGCCCCAGGCCTGCC